AAGTCCTCACTTGATCCTGACATTCCCTTCAAGGTATGGTGTTATATCTTTCCTCCTTTTAACAGCAAACTCCTAGAAAGAGCTGTCTATACTCATTGCCTCCACATCCTTATCTCCTCATCCCCCTTGAAATTTGACTTCCAAACTATCACTTGATCTGTTCTCTCCCAGGTTACTAACAACCTCTTATTTGCTAAATCTTTTCTGAGTCCCCATTCTTCTCCCCCTCTCTGCAGTTTTTGCCACTGTCAATAACTCTCTCTCCTTCCTAAACTTTCACTGTCATTGTTTTCTTCTGGTTCTCCTCTTACTTGATTCTTCCATTTCTGTTTCTTTTCCTGAATCAACTCTAAAAAGTTTCCTAATGGATCTTCCACTGTCTCTGATATCTAATCCATCTTTCTCACAGCTGCTACAAAACCTTTCTAAAGCACAAGTAGGTCTCATCATGTCACTCTCTTACTCAGGAATATTCAGTGGCTCCCTATTGTCTCTAGGAAAAAAAATACAAACCCCTCAGCTTAACAGTTAAATGCCTTTACCTTTCCAGACAGATTTTACATTACTTCTCATTGATGTACTCAATGTTCCAGCCAAACTGGCATTCTTCCTGCTTCACAAATTAGGCATTTCTTCTGCCACAGGCTACCTGAATATATGAAATATACTTACTCCTGATTCCTGCCTAGTAGAATCCTTAGCTTCCTTCAAGGCTCAAATTAGGTACCACCTTTCATGGGTAAACTCTTTGCTGATTTCTTTAGTTTTTGACGTTCTTCACCTCCTTAAATTATCTTATACTAACTTACCTGTATTGTATATGTCCTATATTTCCCAGGAAAATGTAAGCTTCTTGCAGGGCCTGTTTTTCAACTTGTTCTTTATCTCAAGGACTTAGCACAGTACCTTGGTACATAACAAATGTTTGCTGAATTCACTTGAATGTGGGATATTCCACTTGTGTTCCCCATTCTCTCAAAATGGTCCCCTATTCATCCAGGTCTTACTTTTAGTTCTGTTAAGTGGGAAACTTATTTACATATCTAAATCCAGACTATCCATGGCAAATTTATGGTCATTTTTAGTTATTTTTTGAGATTTCATGCTTGGCTAACAAACAGCATTGGGTTACGTGACAGAAGACATTAATATACGTTCCCTGTTTCACCTTTTGGTGAATTCCTTGTTCTCTTCCACCCCTGCTTTAATCCTCCTTTTTTGTCAAACTATAAAATACAGGTTCTTCACCTCCAAATTGGCCTCTATCGTTATAGTCTAACATTTATTTTCCATGCTGTCATTTACAAGTACAAGTCAGAGTTGCTTTGTATCCCTATCAATTACAAAGCTTTAACTTTTGCCATTCCCTTGAAGCCCACTTTCTCCATCCTTTTGGCCAACTCTGAATTTCTGACTCTTTTTTCCCCACCACTAAAATGTTGATTTCTGATCTTACTGGTTAAGCCTGATGAATACTAATTTAAAATATAAGCTCCTTGGGAATAGTATCTATTTTGTATTTGGATACCCTGCCATATAGTAAGGATATTTAATAAATTTTGCTCAGCTGAACTGGATTTCTGAATCTTATCATTTCTATAATTACAACTATACCAAACTGCTCAGATGAGTCTTCTGACACATAAAGCAAGATTTTTTTTGGGGGGTAATTTTACCAGCAGTTTAAATGGCGTGTTTAATATTGGCTATGACTTGGTATATTCTAATTGGTATATTGGTCATTTATCTGAACCTTGTCCATAAAATTCCCTTGAATACTTAGAGGATTTCAGAATTAGGCCCATTTTTACATATATGATAAGAACCATTCACAGAATTTTAAGATTTCAGAGCTGAAAGGGACCTTAGAGATTACTTAGGCTCAGCAAAGTTACGTGACCTTCCTAAGGTAGTCTGTAGCATGGCTGACACTATAATTCAGATGTTCTGAATCCCAAGCCACTGCTGATAGACAACTCCATGTTTAATAATATTAGGAGACAGGCTAAGTAGGTTTTTTTAGTCTTTAAATGAAAGAATAAAAAGGCACTTGAGTGTTTGCCCATATTTAAGTTTGCCAGCCTTAGACTAAAGCTTCTCTAATTTCAATATTTATAAAATCGATTCCTTTCAAGAAACAGAACTTATAGTTATAATGGCAACAGCATGCAGAGGGAAATGTCCTGGACTGGGGAGATCTAACTATGATTGTGCAAAGACTGAAAAGGTGTTCTGGGGCTAGGTTATAGTGATCCTTGAACTTGAGAAAACTTGGAACTCATTTTGTAGGTTAACTGTTAATAAGTGACAAGTACCTTTTTTGAGTACCCTCTAGATATAAAGCACTGTACAGAATTGGGGGAGGAGGGGACAGGGGGTAAGGAGAGGAAGGGTGAGAGGGAATAAAAGAACAAGGTATATTCCCCTTCTCTCAAAGAGTTTAGACCCTAATGGGAAACTATTTTTTAAAAATTCTGAATTTAATGAACACTAACCCCCCCCACCTTTCCACATACAAAAAAGAGAAAAGAGGATCATATATGAAAACATCAATATCTGTTACATACATCTTTTTTTTAAAGTATAAAATAAAGTCAAAGCTAGCCTATTTGTGGCTCCTTCTGAACTTCCTTCAGTTCTCATCTGTGTATTTAAAAAAATGCTTCAAAGATCCTCTTATTTACTGTTTTTGTCAATGCTATTGCTAGTTCTCTCCCTTCTGTTTTCCTCACCCTAAATAATAATAAAAACACAACCTTTATAACAAATAAGCCTAGCTAAGAAAAGTAAATCCACATATTTGCCATGTCCCAAAAAGAAAGTTTAATTCTGCACTTTGAAACCATCACTCCTGACAAGAGATATGTAGCAAAGTTCCTTATGAATCCTCTGGGATTGTGCTTGTTCATAGTATAGATCAGAGTTCTTAAGCCTAAAGAATGGAATTTTAATAAACTGAGAGGAAGACAGAAAGTCTTCCAAGGCTGGGGTGTGAGAAAAGGGAAGGGGATGATAGTACATGAGGGATGATATTGTATAGATGTGGAGGTTAATGAAAATGGAAACAAATAAAGAGAGAACAGCTCAACTAGGATCACTTGGGAATAATATGGAGTTAAATGATTGAAAAGGTAGACTAGAAAGTGAAGTTGGAGTAGGGGGTGCTGGATCAGGAGAATAGGGAGGAATGGAAGGACTATAGGTCACAGTGAGGAGGACAAATAGTTCTCAGCAAGAGTAAGACAGAAGTTTAGGATCAGAGAGGTGTATTTCAGAGTTGAAGCACATGGAGGAGATGATGGTGAGATTTAAATTGCAGGGCCATGGGTTGCTGCAGCAGACAAAGATGAAGGTCATGGAAGTTGAAGGGGTTGGTGACCTGTTGGCCACAGTGTTTAAGGGAACATTAATGTGCAGACTGAAGTCCTCAAGTATGGGGGCAGAAGTTGTAAAGGAGAAGTTGAATGGAGGAATCACTTGGAGACAAATAGACTCGAGAAACAAGGCATTGGTGCAGATAAAAAAACACACATAAAATCTTATCTTTCTTTAACCGTGGGTCCTTTGAATTACCAAAAATCTAGTAGAAGTGATAGGGACATAATTCAAAGAAACAGCTCTGGTGATTAACATCTTACCATATAATTAGAGCTAGTACAATGAAGATGTTATACTGAAAACATAAAATCCTACCTTAGCAAAAGTAAAGACAAGTTATCTCAGACTTAAATCTCATTAAAAGGAAGCTCAAGTGAATTCTTTATAACTCATAGTTCACAAATACTATTGTATGCTAACATATTTCAAGCCAACTAGAGATTGTAGTACACTGAAATGTCAGTTCAGTAAAAGATCCTGCACAGTCCAACAAGGCTTTAATTGTGGTTGACCCATATCAAAGTCAGACCTTGACTCAGACTGGTGTATAAACACATTGTTACCCTAATTTAAAAACATATTGGTTTATTTCTCCAAACACTTATCTATAGCTTCCAAGGTATTATACTTTGGCTTATTTAAGGCTTCTCACTTAAGCTCTTGGTTTTAAAATAACCATCTAACTCAACCTTTTGATTTTTAAGCTGCCACTCATTATTTAATTTAAAAATTACACATAATCTTTCAGATTATGACAGCTTTGGATTTTCTTCTTCTAGTAATTTGTTAAAAGAACTTACTATCCTTTCCAATTAGCTAAGTAAGCAAAAATCAATGTATCTGAACAACTTGACATATCCTTGACACAAGGATTACCAGGCGAGAGACTTATGTTTCAGCTTTTTATTAATTGACATATTCTGAAGGAAGACATTATCTGTACTTAGAAAAACTGATTTTGTATAAAGAACAACAAATCCCAATGACCAAGCTTGACTCTGGAGCAGAGTGGAAAAAATGGATTTTCCTCTTTTCATTGTGGAGGTTGGTAACTACAGTGTGAAATGTTGCATGTAATATCAGACACAGGTGATTTTGCTCAACTTTCCCCCTTTACCCTTTTCCTTTTAAAATCTTTGTTAAGGGTGGGTGCCCTTGGAAATAAATGTTATATAACAGTAGAAGTTTGGCTTCAATAAAAATAAAGAAAAGCTTGTTTGAAAGGATATCAAAACAATTAAAAATACTTAAGAATTTTAAGTATTGTATACTTTCAAAGCAAACCTGATGTTATTTTTTGAATTCTTAGCCTTAGAGTTAAAAACATTGCTCACTAATCATAATTCACAGCTATGTCTTCAGTAATAGTTTGCATTTTAAAAAGAAATTCTGTTACTGTAAGAGATTATAAGAATTAAGACATAAATATTATAGGGGGCTATTGTTACTACTTTACCTGCATTAAGAGCATATGAAATAAAATACTATAATACTTGGACTCAACAACTTAAAGTGCTGATCAAATCATTTGGCTAAAAGAATGCTTTTAGTCCAAGTATCTAAAGTCCACTGAAACACTCTTTCCGAGTTAATTCAAAGAGTTTCAACAGAGAAATACTTACTCCATGCCTTGTGCTGTTTGCCGTGCAATATCTATCAGCTTGATCATCTCAAATTTGGTCTCAATGATATGTAGATGGTGATATAAACTGGAGCCTTCACACCACTGTGTAACAATGGCCAACTGTGGTTTTGTTGAATAGCCCATAAAGAGTAGGATATTCACATGTCGTGTTTTCCTACAAAAAGAAAGACTCAATTCAATTCAACAAGCATTTATTGAAGTTCTATTATATGCCACACCCTATGCTAGCACTACCAAGATAAAAAACAAAATAGTCCTGGCCTTCAAAGAGCTTACATTCATTGGGGGTCAGGGTGGAGAGTAGGCAGAAGTGGAAAACAACATATACAGAGAGAAATAAATACAAAACATACAAAGCAAATCAAAATAATGTTTCTGATGGGAAGAGCATTAATAAGGGTAGATATCAAGAAAGACTAATGCTTCAAAGTTATATCTGAACTTTTGGTGTAAAACAGTATAAGAGGACTTGTTTTTTCAGCTATTTCAAGACACTATCATACCTTTCCCTCTTTTTGCTGGGCTAAGCACTCCTAGTTTTTCCAACAACCCTTACTGGCTACAATTTCTGTACCTCTGAATTCTGGTTGCCCTTCCCTGCACATATTCTGGGTTTGTCACTGTCCCTCTTAAAAAGTGATACGCAAAGTTGAATATGATATTCAAAATACATCTGAACAGCAGACAACTTCCTGTTATCTGGACACCTTTTATATTGCTGATATTTCTGGGAGGAAAAAAGGTTGAATATGAAATCTACTCAGAAAAACACTTATGTTTCTACATCTTCTGCTTTATTGAAAATTAGATGAAATACTGATTAAACACTTTCAACGTACATTGCACTGTACTAGGTAGGTACTGAAGATACAAAGAAAATATTAAAATTCTTGCCCTCATGAAGGTTATAGTCTATTGTATGCGAGGTGGTAAGATAAGGGTATATATATACATAAACAGTGATAAGCATAATCAAGGTTAGGAAGTGACAAAGGCAAAGAAAAGATCAAAGAACTCTGGTAACATGTGAGGAGGGAGAACACATCTATATAATCGCGGGAATTAAAGGAAGGCTTCAAAAAAGGTGGGTCCTGAGATAAGCTTTGAAGGAAGATGAGGATTCTGAACAGCAACATTGAGCAGTGAGGACATTCCAAGCATGGGGATGGCTTTTGTAAATGTAGGAAGGCAGATGTAATGCTGGATTCTCAGGGATGGCTAGTTGTCCCAGTCTGGCTGGAAGAATAAGAAATGGCTTACAAGCTCATGGGTCAGTTGAGTTTATTTCCCTTAGACCTTTTCAGGTTAAATGACTTGTCCAAGGCCACACAGATAGTAAGTAGAGGAGAAGATTCAAACCTAGATTTCCTAACTCAAATGCCCATTTCCTTTCCATGGTTCCATGCTGGAAATTCCATGCTGGAAATGAAGACTGGAGACAGATGGTAAAGGGCCCTCGATGGCAGGCCAAGTTTATATTCTACTCTAACAATAGCAAGCATTTACATAGCACTTTAAGGTTTGCAAAATCTTTCACAAATATTATCTCATTTGATCCTCCCAAATGGTAGGTGCTATGTTTATCCCCATTTTGTAGATACGGAAACTAAGGCAGACAAAAGTTAAGTGACTTGCCCAGGGCCTCATGATAAATAAGGGTCAGAAGCTGTATTTGACCTCAGGTCTTCCTTATTCCAGGTCTAGTTCTCTATACACTGTATCACATAGATGCTAGAGGAAACAGGAAGCCTAAAAGCTATAGCCCCTCTCCTTGTGCCTTGATCACATCCCTCTCCCTTCCTCCAGGAGCTCACCTCCCTCTTGGATAGCCCCTCTATTGCTCCAATTTTCAAATTTGCTGTATCCACTGGCTTATTTCCTACACCTATAAATGTGCCCAGATTAACCACATCTATAAAAAAAATCTTAACTTATTCATTTTGTCCCTTAAGCTACCATCCTCTATCTTACATCTATACTTGGTTTGGCTTTTAAAGCCTTTTGTCATCTGGGCTCTTCCTACTTTTCCAGTTTTCTTATACCTTACTCCCCTCCACACAATCTACCCTCGTGTGACACTAGTTTCCTTGCTGTCCCTCAAAAAAAGGCACTCTGTCTCCCAACTATGCATTTTCACTGGCTGGAGTGTTCTCCTTCTTGGAATCCCTGGCTTCTGTCAAGCACTCAGCTCAAATCCATCTTCTGTAGAAGGCTCTTCCTGGGCCCCACAGGTACTGGGCTGTCTTCTCTGGTGATATCTTCTCTGTATATGCCTGCTATCTACCACGCTATTTAAATGTTGCTTCCCCATTAGGATGTAAGCTTCTTTGGGACAGTGACTGTTTTTGCCTTTATCTGCACTGTAAAACCCAGCACAGTGTCCTGCACATAGTGAGTACTGCATTCCTTCATTCCAACCTCTCTCACATCCTGGACTTGCAGGTCTGACAACATCATCACTTTGCTCAAGAGCTTTAATTGCTTTCTATTGCCACTAAGATAAAATACACATATCTCTGTTGGTATTTAAAGATCCTCCATGATCTGGCTCCAGTCTGACTTTCCATACTGATCAAACATGATTTTGTCTCATACATTCTATATTCCAGCCAAACCGGACTACCTGCTGTTGCTCATCCACGACACTACATCTTCTATGACCTCAGGACCTTTATATAAGCTGTAACGGTCTCCCTTTCATCACTTCCACTTCTTGAGTCCTTATCTCCCCTCAGGGCTTAGTTCAAGTGACCCTCATTTCAAAAGGTCTTTCCTAATTCCCCCAGTTCTGAGTATTCCCCTTCCTCTCCTGCAATTTCTTTGTAATTTTTCCCATATACCTAGTGATTACTTATCTGTGTGCATGTTGTAGCCCTACAGTAACAGGTTAGCTTTTTGAGAGCAACTGTCTCATTCTCTTTGTATCTAAGCATGATGCTTGGCATACAATAGACACTTAATAAGAACTTTTAAAAACAAACTGAAATGAAGTGAATTTGAGCATTGAAGCGAAGCAGTCAGACCTGTTCTTCAGAAAGATGACTTCAGTGGGGATGTGAAGAATGGACTACAGAAGGGACTGGTGGAAAGGTGATTGATTGAGTAGTACAGAGGAGGGATGAGAAGTCCCTGGACTAGAGCGGTGAATTACATGAATGGAGAAAAGGATGACTGGGAGGTGATGTGGAAGCAGGAGGCAGACTCCACAAGCCTTGTAACAACTGAATATAGTGAAGTAGAAGAGTGGTGAAAGAGTCTGAGCATTTGAACGTTGGTGCTTGGGAGGAACAGGTAAGTGTAAAGGAAGGATCAGTAGGGTTAGAGGACACGAGAGAAAAGAATGCATTCAGTCAGGGACATCCGGAGTCTGAGATGCCTACAGAATATCCAGCTAAGTGGCACACCCAGAAAACAGATGTAGGGCCCTTGAGGGCTGGGGTGCAGAAGAGAGCTTATTTAGGGCTGAACATATAGAATTGGGAGGAGTCATCTGTGTAAAGATGATAAATGAATCTATGTGAATGGATGAGATCCAAAGAAGAAGGTGCACTGAGAAAAGAGAAGAGGGCTCAGTACTGAGGCTTGGGGACTCCTAGGCTCAGGGAGCAGGAAAAATTGCAAAGCCAGTAAATAAATGGGAAACACATCATGATAAGCATCTCAATTCTCTGGAAAATAATGTACACAATGCTCACCTGAGCACTCCTACTTCATTTTTGAAGGCCTGTAACTGCTGAGGTGTGGGTGCTGTCACATTCAACATTTTCACAGCTACATCACCTAGAAGATAATTGTCATCCCAAGAGAAAAGCATTTTTAAAAAAAGAATGGTTGGGTATTTTCACCAGTCACCACAGCCCTACTAAAATCTGTATCACTAGGAAATGTGCTTATGAATTATACTAACTTCTTTTTTGTTTAGTTGTTTTTTGGGAAGCAATCCAAGTTAAGTGACTTGCCCAGGGTCACACAGCTAGGAAGTGTCTGAGGCTGGATTTGAACTTAGGCTGACTCCAGGGCCAGTGTTCTATCCACTGCACCACCTAGCTGCCCCTACACCTTAACTTCTTAAGTTTTCTTATTTTCTAGGGAAAAACCCAACCAATGAGAGATACGCATGCCAGAAGAGTTTATATTGTTTAAGTTATTGGGAATTCAGCTTTGTCAATTGCATTCCAAAACCATTTTCAAGAGTGGTTATACTAGACCTAAAAAGAAATGCAGTTAACAACGGATAATGCTGAAGCAAAAAATGTCAGACTCAACCGTGTTGGCTGAAAGTCAAGTAAACTGAAATCAACCTTTTAGCATTGAAATTTTTAAGGCTTTTTCAGTTTATGGATTACTTTAAGCTCGAGTAACAACCTATCTCATCTGTTACTTTTTTACAAAAAGGGATGATTTTACCTAGGAAAGGAATCACTAATATGATTACATATATTTAGATGTTCAATTATGGTTTTTAATGTAATTTAACATCTTTAATGCAGCTTAACACTAGAGTAACCATGTATATTGAAAACAACACACATTTTGTCATGAATTTGTATTTGAGACCAGCTTAATGATTTTCATATATGAATAAACTTTTGAAAATCACTTTGAATCATGCTTTAACAAAAGGTAAGAAAGGGTACTAATATCATGAATCTATAAAAACCTATTTTTATTCCTTGCAGTTTTTAAAAACCAATCTTTGGAGAATTCCACTGAATGACATGCCATATGATAAAATAAATAATACTTACTTTAGCACTTTCCATGAAAGATTTAAAAAATATGCAATAATTATAAACTTGAAAACTAAGTTTTGTCCTAATGCTTACATACCATGCCATTTTCCCTTGTAGACTGTTCCAAATGATCCAGATCCTATCCTTTGTCCAACTGTAATTTGCCCATCTGGAATCTCCCAATCATCACTTGAGTCCCGTCGACCAAGGGTTTTCTAAAATAAAATTCAACCAAAATAATGTAAAATCAGATTTATTCATTATAAAGGAAATGTATTTTAAGACTTGCCTAAGCCTGGTAATGATATAATATATGAAAAGATTTAAATTATGATTTTATTTTCCATCAGAATTAGCAATATCTGATTTGCAATTTAGTATCAGTGATGGGGTAGGGGCCCAAGCCGAGAACTTTGCCCCTCATTCCAAAAAGATTTTGGGTCCCATTTGTATGGGCCCCAGAAAACCCTTAAACTTTCTTTGAACTCACTTATCTGGTCAAGGAAGTTTAGCAGTCTCCAGATTATTAACTGGCCTAACCGCCTAAGCGGAGCTATCTCTTGAATACCCTGAAGAAGCCTAGTCTTTGATACCCTAATGAAGTCTAGTATATTTCCCAACTAGGATCTTACCCAGACCCTATTTAACCTCTTCCTTCCCTATCTTCCACTTCTTTGTTACCCTAATGGAGCCTAACCCTCCACTGTCTATTCCCAGATGACCCCATTCTGCCTCCCATGCTCCCATGGAGTTCTCCCTAAACTCCTCTCCCAGTCACCCCAGCTTCAAGATCCTCTTCCCAGCTCCTCCTCCAAAATTATTTGGCTGTATATAAGATCCATCCTGGCCCCCATTTATTTATTTATTTAGTTTGCTTTTTGGTGAGGCAATAGGGGTTATGTGACTTGCCCATGGTCACACAGCTAGCTGGCTCTCATTTAAATGCTGAGATTTCCTCATGCCCGATCGTCCTTATGGGTGTCACTAACGTTCAGACTCCTTAAGAGTCTGGCCTGTATGGTTTATCTCTAATAAAACCCTGTCTTTGGCTGAAAGAAGACTTGGGTTGAATTCATTCAGGCAGAAACCACGTGTTGTGATTTTGGGGTCCCAGCACCCCTGGCACCTACACCTCAACATCAGGGCACTCATAAAACACCGCTGTTGTTTGGACATGCAAGTGAATTGGATTTAAGTGAGAGAAGGCTTCGCAAAGTCACTAGTCTCACCTTCTCCTCTGGAGCCATCTGGGTCTGGGGGCAAGATACAGATAAGGACAACTAGAGATGGCCCTGGATGCAGTGGGAGACCTTAGCCTTTTTAAGCTAAGGTCTTTTAACAGGTTTCAGTTTGACTGAGGTCACACCTCATTCAGTGATTAGGCTAGGTAAGAAATAAGGCAGAGAATAGCCTCTTGTACCTAGTCCAAAAAAAAAAAAATCAATCTGGGAAGGGAAGACCCTCAGGATTTCTGGTCAAAATTGAAACAATTGCTATTTACATTCACTCTGAGCCATCAGGGCCCAAACAATGACCAAAGAAGGCTTGGGCTGGGACCTATTGTTGGCCAATCAATGAGAGCTGGAGTAATTTGGGTTTAAGGCATGGTCCTTAAGAAAAAAAAATGATGTTGGGATATACAAAATGAATTATTACTTAAACCAAAATAATTAAATCTAACATATCAAGGTCATTTCACCAACCAATCCCTATCCCTCCATTACAATGTCTCTTAAACAGTTTTCATTATCTATCTTGTCTGATTTTTTTCCTAAGTAAAAAGGCCATAAAAGCTCTTAAGTAAACATTTGCATATGCTATTCCCTTCCCCCTCTTCCCGCTACCAAATTATCAGAAAGAGTAGATCTCATTCTTCAGCTACCAATGCCTTTGTTTCAGTCACAGCAGAGATGAGAACAGCAATTAGAGATTCAGAAATAATTCCTGCACCAAAAGACTGTCAGTTCTAAGATGGCTTTTGGAACAATATAAATTGCATGTCAGAGAACACCAAATCAGCACATTTGGATAATGTATTAAGTGACCACAGTTAGTTTAAATTATTTTAGTTTTTGCATGAAGCAAAATCTATAGCATCTAACTTGTGTCAAGTGTTACTTAGATACTAATAATGTGACAAGATTTACAACAAATGTCCACTGCTCTTTGAGTTGTTACTACATGGCTTTTAAAAAAAAGAAAAACTTAGGAGAAAAGCAGGAAGATGACCTTCTGCCCTTACCATTCTATTCCTGTCTTCAGAAGATGATGAAGATTTTCTTTCACGCTGAGGTCCTGGAGATTTTTGTAATGCTTTCACATTAGTTAAAGATCCAGGCAAGGAAGCAGGAGGGGTGGCAGACAAGCCTGTTGTTGACCCTGAATTATTTTTTAAAAAATGCATCCATTAAAGGAGGATCAAATCTATTGTTTTAAAAAATCTTAAGAAATTTAATACTTGTTTTGAAAGATGCAGTATGTCCAAATGTCTTAGAGGGATATTCATGTTTTAATGTGCTTATATAATTTTTACCAAATAAACTCCGTTCAATTTTCTCTATCAAACTGTTGCAGTAGTTCATCTTACATATCAATGCTAAGTCTGAGCACAATTTTTCTTTAAATTAAAAAAATAACATACTAATGAAAATCACAAATTAGATGCTTATTTCTCTGGCAGGAGAAGATTAGTTCCAATAAAAAAAATCTGTTATGTCCCAAATATTTGGAATATCTTTAAAATTATATTAATATAATTTAAAAGGCACAGATCACAAAAAGATGGGAGAATGTGACTGCGATAGCCCTAAAAATTAAAAAAAAATTTGATTCTTTGTTATCTAGAAATATAAAATATTTAATCCAAAGAAGCACACTATACCCTAATAAGCCATACTACTTATGAATTTTGTTGTCTCCCTGAGGTCTGTTAAACACAGAGAGGGATTCTTTATCTATATATAAAGTTAATGGTATACACAAAGTCAAGTAGGTTTTGCTGGTCAAAAAAATCGAAACAAAACAAAATTCCTTTACAAATGACCAAAACTTAGTGATACAAATTCCACGGCTTCACTGCTAAATTACTGCCTAGGCAATATGTGTATTGGTCAAGGGAATCTTAGCACATACTCTTTCTGAAAGGAGATCCATATTCAAGAGCTGTGGGGAAAGCTTGGCCTCACCAGTGTGGACCAAAGGATCCACTAGATTCTGGCAGCCTTGTGCTAGCCTACAGAATGTCACCTCTGCTTCCCGTTGGCACCTTTAGGATGTATCCAAGAGCTTGCAAAGCTTATTCAAGATGAAATCACTAAAATGACTTCCATCCTTTTGGGGGATATGGGAAGCTACAGTGAAGGAAAGTGGGAAGGTAGTTCTGAGGTCATGCCAATAAGCAGAATCTAGTCTTTTTGAATCTGGCTCAACGGGTGTTCAAGTTCCCTATTTTATCAGTGGGGTTGTACTGAGATTTTCTCATAGTATTCTCCTGGGTTTAAATTTGGAGATTAAATATCTGAGGTCCTCCTGGAGTGCTGTCATATAGATAATTACTTGGTAACACAGTCCAAGTTAATCCCTCCACATATAAAGCAAAAAGCAAAAACAAAAAACAACTTGAGGGAGATACTGCTTCTTAAGATGTTTACTACCATTAGGAGAAAAGTTATACTTCAATCTAGTGCAAAAGGCCAAAATAACAGTAACATTAGTCAAAGGTTAAGCCTGTGTAAAAATTTGGTCATCCCATCTTTTATATCCAATTCTCTGAAAGGACAAAATGATGATTGAGATTAACTGGTTCTGTCTATCTTTTTATATAAAACCACTGCAACAAATAGGCTCGATTGCTTGATGATGTTTAGCTGACAAACTTTTCTAAGCAACTATGCTAATTAAACTAATTTTTCTCAGTAAATTCTGCATACTTTCCAAGGACAGGAACAGTTGACCTAGGAAAGCAACTGTAAGGCCTAGAAGCTGAAGCTTAATGCTGAAGCACAAATTAATAGCTCCAAGTAATTAATACCTTTTAGCAAAATCTTTGAAAATAACGCATACTTATACAATGTTTTACTGAAAGCTTACCGAGGAACAATCCTGACAAAAGTAGAACAGATATCCCCATTTTACAGATTGGGGAACCAGGATTAAGTGAATTGCCAAGATTATATAATTTAGTATCAATCAGAGTCAGGAGTTGAAATCAATTGGTCTTTTGATTCTAACTGTGCTAAGCCGTGTCCCCTCCCATGAAAACACTGGTATGGGGCACTCCCAGTAAGGAAACTCCCTCTACCAATACAAATGAGCAACTATTCTGCCTCTTACAGTCTAAGAATTGCTTGGGGGGGCAATGAGAGGTTCAGTAATTTGTCCAGGGCCACACAATCAGCATATGTCTGAGGTGGAACTTGAACCCAGACCTTTCTGGACTAGAAGTTATCTCTCTACCCACTACCCCATATTAAGCCTCATTATTTGTCTTTTAGATTAAGTACAGTAAGATATCTATACCAATTTTGTACCATTAAATGAATTATAATAAATGTAACCACAGTACTCGAAATACGGAGGAATGACATATGATGTCATCTCACTTTTTGGAGTCTGAAATCATGCTGCTACCCTTTTTCTCTCACAGTAAAACCTGAATCTAACATTACATAGCATTAATGAAGAACAGAAACTTAGGTTTTCTTAAGTATATTACGAATAATCAGGTACAATAACTTTTATTTCTGCATAGCACCTTGTTTCTTGTGCTTAATATGTTATAAAATAATCTATTTCCCATTGCACAGAAGCATTAATATTGTTGATTATCAGAGAATCTCCAAAAAAAAAGTCAAAGTCCCAATAATGTGTCCCTGAATAATTTATCTAATTTACATTTTCACAGAATATGACTGCTAAAATACAAATAAAAACATTAATCACCACAGAAATGTCACTTAAATGGATTAAAACCAAAGGAATTCAGATCGAAGGCCCATACCTTGTTAGTTCCTTCCAGATAAATTTACAACAAACATGACCAATAGTTACAAGGTTAAAAACAAGATGGACACTTCCAGCTCAGAATTTCCTTGCTTTTAAAAGTTTATGTCAGACAACATACAGAAAGCTAGTGGTAGTGAATATGTATAAGAAGCACATTCAGAGCATTCCAGCCAGGCCAAGCAGAAAATTGAGGTTTTTTTTTTCCTCTGAAAACTCTCACACTTACAAACACACGCTGTGAGGGTGAGGCACGAACAGCATTTGTGGTTTTTATTTATTTATTTTGGGGGGTTTGGGGTGGTGTGAAAACAAGAAAGAAGAGCCCAACTACCTCTGAACACTGGGCCAGGCTCAAAATCAAACACTATTTCACTGGGGACAGAATGTAGGAGGGGACTGGGAGTCCGGGATTGGTATTTCCGAAGACAGCGCATCAGTTGGTTCAAGGGGGCTGTTAGAGAGAGAAAGAAAGGAGCAGGCAGAGACAGGAAGACAGACACACAGAAGAAATGAAAGAAGTCATGGGGAATAAATAAGATGACTTGAAGCCTGCTTAACAGAATAATTTTGGTCATAAAAAAAAAAACAACCAAATACTTATTTTTATAAAATCCCAATAACTAAAACAAATAAACCAAAAAATCCTCCCCAAACCCAAAGCAGTTCAATATGAAGGGTAAAAATTGCCATTTAATCTTAGATACTAAGCAGGCACTTTTTTATGACTAGGTTAATAGCTTTGTGATGCCAACATGACTGCAACATTTAAATGCTGGATGTATTGGGGGAAAATTATCAAAAGCCACAGTTATCAAGACATATGAAAGTCAAACTGGCAACAACATTATCTGGTGGGTTCACAGAATAACAAACAAACAAAAAATTTCTATATCTGAGGTACTATAAACTCTAGATGCAGAGTTCACAAGACAAGGTGACCCAGCATTTTAGTAGGTTTAAAGGTGAAGAGGCAGTACAACAAAATACAATTATACAATGGATTGAGGTAGATAAAAATTTAGATATTCTGCTAAAGGTATATAGCAAGTTGAAATGAAGAGGCCATATTAAGAGATATTTGTGTAAAGCTATAAAAGCATTCAATTACTATACTCATTTATAAGGACATTTATAAGGACAGATCTTGATAGGTAACAAGATATTCTGAAACATGATACTTTGGACAATATTTTACGAGAAATATTCTTATGATGAATTATTTTCATTAGCCTCCAAATTTATAACTGGATACTATAATCAGTGCCAGGTTGATTGGGTAATGGGTTTGACTTCAGCTTGTTTGTTTGTTTTGTAAGCAGAACTGAACTATTCCAAGGGGTAATTGAACATCTGCCCAGTCACCTACGGTATAACACATCTAGACTTTACACTTTTTTCAGGAAGACAAGGGGAAGAAGTCATAAACACCGACCTACTATTCCTAGTCACCTGGCATCATAGAAATTGGCTGGAATACTGGGGAGGTTGGAAAACTTCCAGGATATATTAATATAAAGATAGTAGTTATCAGGAGAAATTTTGATCACCAGAAAACCCTGTGATCAAATTTAAAAAAGAAATAAACATCCCAAAGGGAAGTTTAATAACGATATTTTGAGGATGGATACAGATCAGCAAAGCAACAGAATTCTCCATGTAAAAATACTTCAAAATAATTGATGGAACATTTAAGTTCCTTTCTCCTACGTGCCTACTCTACCCACCCGAATTAATATATGTTTTATCAGGACAAACACTAAATATAGAAAAGTAAAGCTGATAATTTGGTTTTTCTCTACACATTTCTCTCTGTGTCTGTGTTTCATGAAACGAGCCAGTAAAAAAGGACAGAGGCAGCAAAGCAATGGCATTTTCCCCCAAATTCTCTTGCGAAATTAAAATGACTACTTACCTCCATCACCCCGTAACCCTTGGTCTCTAATCAAGTCCTATAAATAAATAGTAATGTGTATTTACTTTGATTATACAGTTAAAGATCAAAAATAGTGTTTCATTTCCCACTAAATATCACTAGTAGCTGGGCTAATTAAAATGAGACCAGTATGACTTCATAAAACTTAAAAACCATAGGCTAGCCAACATCTAAGATGCCATCCAAAAAAGAGACAAGTCCCTAATTTGAACCTACTGATAAGAGATCAGCTTAATACAGATTTACAAAATTATTTCAGGTGTTCAAAATCAAGTGAAAGTATGAATTCACTTTAAAAAAGGCTTACTGACAATGCAAAAATCAAAATATATCTAACTTGAGTGACTGAAGGAGAGGCAGAGGTAGAAGAGAAACTTCCCACTTCAGCCTGTCCCTCTGCTTACCTCCACCCTGACTTAGCAGTATTCATCATTTGCCATTACCCCTAAACTTGTCTGTGAATAAGTTTACTCATCTGCCAAGGGTCCAATTTTCTGTATAGAAACCATGACATTAAACACAGAAGCAATTTATTTAAAGAAAAATTTCTGTTGGATTGTCAGGGTACAGCCCTCACTACCCTTTATTCAGATAACAATTTAGCAGGTATTTACTGAGCAACTACTACATACAAGATGACATGAGGCATAAGGAGGCATAAGACAGGCCTTAAAAGAGTTTATCATCTAATTGGATTATTAAGAAGTAAAAGGAAGCCAATTAGTAATATAATATTTAGATAACAATTCAAGACAACAAGAGATACCAGAAGGTACTTTATAATTAAGGTAGACACCATAAGAAAATAAAATGTACTAGAAATTCAGAAAAGGAAAAAAAATCACTCACTAAAGGAGGAGGGAGGACTTGAGCTGGGTCTGCAAGGATGGATAGATTTGGATAGGAAGAAGGGAATGGCCTAAGCAAAGAGGCATGTGAATGAATATATGTTCTAAGGGTGATAAATAGAATAATTTGATCAAACCAATTTTATTAGAATGGAGTTCCTGCAATATGAGATATAACTAAAGAGTTAAGGTGGGGCTAGGCTATGGGATGCCTTGAATGTCAAGCTACAGAGTCTAAATCTTCCTTCAGGTAACAGGTAGCCATTAAAGTAATTCTAGGAAGGGGAAATAAATAATTAAGAAGAGGGAGTATGGTACAATGAAAAGAAAGGCCTGGATTCAAGTCCTCCCTTTAATACATAATGACTGTAGGACACTGACCACTCTCTGCACTATCAAGTTGCAGACAAGACACCCACATGGATGGGCCCAGGAAATTTCTCCCAATGCACCCCTACACACCAATGAAATCCCAGGTTTGATTAAAAAACATTACTGTGACTAAACAGGTGGACCTAAGTACAGCTGGAGAGAGGAGAGCCTGCAGATCATCCAGGAGATACAAGAGGAGCCTTGGGGTAAAGAGATGGGGAGGGAGAGGACCAAAGGCAGAGACACCCACTGCAGGCTCTACACTCCAAACACTTGGCTAGGAGGAGTAAAAAACCACAACTTGGAATGCAAGGCATTTTTTTCAAAAATGAAATCAAATCACATGGATGAAGGCATGGATGGTATGCTCATCAAGTTATGTGGATGGCAAAAAGTTGGACAAAACAGTTGATGTACTGGATAACAGAGTTCAGATCCAAAAAATATATCTTGGAAAAATTTGAATGGTAGATTGAAATTAGCAAGATTAAATTTAAGAGGGATAACTTTAAAGTCTTAGTCTTAGGTTCAAAGAATCATTTGTACAAATAAGCAGGGTGAAGGAGGGAAAGACAAGAATAAGCACAGTTATAAAGTAGTTCACCTGAAAAAGATGGATTTTAGTGGACTGCAAATTCAATGAGAGTCAATGTGCCACAATTCTAATTTAATTTTTAGCTGTGTGAATAGAAAGATGGTGTCTACAGCAAGAGACTCAATAGTTTTGCTGGATGTGACCCTGATCAGACTACATCTGGAGTACTGTGTTGTCTTCTGGGTTCCACGGTATGGAAGGACATTAAAAAACCATGACTTATCAACAGCAGGATTACCAGAATATGAAGAGGATTAGAAATCTCATCAAATGAAGATCTATGGGAGAAACTGGGCATATTTAACCTGAAAAACAGGAGACTTATGGGAGAAGGTAACAAGCTGTCTTTCAATATTTGAAGGATTAACAATTTTGTGGAAGAATTAGACTTATTTTCACTGGTTGCAAAGAACAGAACTGGAACCAATGGGCAGAAGTTATCCAGAGGCAAATTTTGGCTAAACATAAGGAAAAAGTCTTTGCCATTAGAGTGGTCTAAAAACTAGAGTAGAACAAAGACTCACTGGGGAATAGTGGGTTTTCCATCCCTGGATGTGCTTAAGCGAAAACTGAATGAATTATCAGGGACACTGCAGAAGAAAATCCATGCTTCAGGGTGGTGTTGGGTTAGATGACCTCTGAGTTCCCTTCCAACTTTATTCTTAGATGAGACATTAATCTAGCTTTATAATCATATCTATTAGCTAGAAAGTCAGAACTAAGAAAGCAGAGGACAAGACTAGGCAGAAGGACTGCTAAGAAAGGGCAAGGTCTAGTTTCCTATAGTTGATAGAAACGACCAAAATTAACCTAGCAGAAGAACTCTTATAATTTATATACTTTAAATCTTCTATAGCTGTATTTCCTATCTCTGGCCTCACCCTGTATGTTTTCTCTATAATGTTTTGTATTAAATTTCTTTTAAAAAATTACCTATGGGGTAATGAGCTGTTTGAAGGGGGTGGGACAGGTGAGGAAAGAAAGATGGGGGTTGGGAGAAATGAGACAGGGTTAAGAAACCTATATTTTTTTCCAATAAAATAGCTAAATGCTAGGGAACCCAGGAAAAAGATGGCAAGTGACAGAAGTAAGAAAAAAATAGAAATCATGAGCAAGCCAAATCCTTAGCTTGCTGTTTCAAAGGAGAATTGGCATCTCAGACCAAGTGGAGCCAGAGGTAGCCCCTGGATCTTCCTTCTCTAAATGCCTGGCCCATAGCATTACAATTTGGTGAAACACAACATAAAGAGAAAGTATTTGTTTGAATGGATTAGGATGAATTATTGAAGAAAGAAGGAATTCATGGCTATAAAGAAGCTAAATAAATGATTAGCTCTTGGGGGATACTTCTGTCTATGCAAAGATGTACTTTGAGCATACCATCATAAGGGTGCTCAAGATTAAAAATAAATACAACTTAATGAAATAATTTAAAATTACTTTTTAGAGCGCATTAGCTATGGTGATGTTTATTTCACAATGACTACAAAGTAATGAATGGCTGAAATCTTGGGGAGAGAACTACAGGGAGTGGCTCGTAAGAATAAAGAGTATTATGACTGGTTTAAAGCATTAATCAGTAATGTACATACATTTAGGAGGGATGTTAAAAATTTCTCTGATCTGTGATTAGTGAAAATTTCTACTTCAACTAATACAATGCATAAAAAAGTTAATTTACTTTATTGTGACTCTAAAGATACAGAATACTTACATCAATATTGACAGGTTCTATTGTGTTTATATGCACATTGGGAGCTGATGAGGACCGGTCCCGTTGCCCAAACTGGTTCCGATGATCCTCATCTGCTGGTCGAAAGGGCTGTGGAATTGGAATGGATTTTGAAGGCGAAGGACTGGTAAGAATTGGGGGCCTGGAAAGTCAAGTTTGGAAAATAAGATTCAGAACTACTATACATGCTACCTCACATTCTAAAATGGAACAGCAGACACTTCTTTGTTTTTATATTCTCAAGTAAAATCAAAGGTGAGAAAGCATTTAAAAATTATGACCATCAGTAATAGTTTAACAGAAATTTTCAAACAATTAATCTTAAGAAGGCAGCTTTGCTCAGTACCTTAAGGAGAGGCCTTCAGGACCCTGCCTGATTACAACATCATTACATTTATTCCAAGGGTAACGAGAAATTACCTTTGGTCACTAGATGATATTCTTAATTCTCTACTTGGAGAAACTATTTAAAATTTAGTAGCAAGTAGCTAAATATATCTACCACCTAGTTTTTTACATAATTTCCATCATGCTAGAAATCACTAATGCCAGGAAATATATTATATTATGGGAGCAGGGAGATAGAGGACTAAGTAAATAGAAAAAAATTTTTTTAAAGAATTTACACAGACTGTAGAGGAATATTAATCATGAGCTTGCAGGTAGTGGCACGACATGCTCAAATCTATTTTTATGTTCAGTTTCCCCTTACATTTCCAATGTAATATCTCTTTATGTTCTGAGGCTTTTAACACCTCTGATACAAGCACGCATTCTCCACCCCAGGAGGCAGAGAATTATTTATTCTTCGTATGGTAAATGACACTGAAGTAGGTATGTAATAGTTTCTTTCTGATGATACTACTACATACACTTCCTATATAACAAATGAGATAGTATTTGTAAAAGCACCTAGCAGAGTGCCTGGCACATAATCAGCACTTACTAAATACTTGTTACTTCCCTTCCTCTCCACCCTCTTGTTTACCAAATTTCATTGTTTAGAGCTTTAAAGAAATAAGTGAGGTCATTCCCCAATTGATAAATGGTCCAAGGATATGAACAGGCAGTTTTCAGATGAAGAAAT